TACTCAATACTTGTCTGAACTTATGCCCAGCGGGTATTTTCTGCACAGACCAGTGCATCTTATAAGTGGGCCTAGTCATTTGTTTACGTGACGATGGTACAAGGGAGCTATTGATTTCTTTTCTATTGAATACAGACGTCCATATTTCATATCTTGCGTAATTCTTGACGTTTTGAAGACAAAAGCACTCCAGTTCCAAAAGCCATTGTTGTACTGTATATCGTGTATAAGCAAGCTTTTAAATATGATTTTAGATTAATTGGTTAATTGGAAATACAAAAAAGACTGTACAGGTGGTCACAAAAATAAAGTCATGTCACGTATGGAAATAATATTGTTCCAGTTGTTCCACATGCAAATTTGCCCCGCCTGGTAACTATATATATATATTATCTTAAGCTTTTCCTTCCAAATGTAGTTTAAATCACATTGAAAACGTTGATAGGGAGTATATAACGTTGCTCTTAGAAGTGTGTCACGTAGAATATTAAAAAACAAAATCATAGCGAACCGATGGATGTCAAACGTCTTATCTACTCGTGAGCAGGCTGCGTGGTCTTTGTCAGGTATTTTAATGTATTCTGGTTTATAGTGTAAAGGTCAGTTGAAATGTACACGTCCAAAAGTCGGAAGCTGTATCGAGCAACGTAAATAAAACAATATATTGATTTGCACGTAACGTCTATCCTAAAAATTATCAATTATACTTTTTAAATGTACTTATTCGCTCGATTCATTTCAACGTCAAGTTTTTACGAATTAAATGTTGGATTCAATTATTCTTTTAATATTCACGAAAAATATTTCTATATGTCAGTATTTCCCTATGTCCGAAAATGTCTATCTATTTTGCAAATTGAAATTTCAGGCGACTGGTTGCTCGTAGTAGTGAACCTGTGGAAACAGTTCCAGCCTGAATACGGAAGGAACACGCCCTTTGGCTCGCAAGAAAATAACGCCACGGACTTGACTTGGCTAGAACGCCACCGATTACAAAATGTTCAATACTTTATACTCTTGTCTTTGCTGATATCCTTCAGCGTATTTTACTCCATGGGCGGGTATTTCCAATACTTTTACTACATCAAGAGAAGGGAACAGGTAATCTATTTCAGAGGTTTGTAGGGTTTAGTTAAAGGGAAATTTAGCGTCTTTTAATCAGACCAAAATTTCTATTGAAAGGGCAATGCAAGCAAACTATATGATAATCCAACTGTCTTAAGAAATACATTAGCGTAAAGTATGCAATCTTTTGATCTTGGTAGCGGTCAGATATAGTCGCATATGTAGGTAATGAGGCGTCTGAAATGCTTATATCCCCTTTATGATATTGGCCATACGTTCCTCTTCAGTCTGAAGAATGGAAATGCCAACCAAATAAATTTCTCACAAAGGAAAACGAACGTCATGAATTTATTGCTGGTTCTGTGAATATGGCTTGCGGAGCTACTGTCTCTGGGATACTGGCCTGCTTTATTTTGAATGGAGGTAAGACAATGATTTATCTAAATTTTTTGTACAATATGAGTCGTGACTTCATGGAATTTATATTTAGTATGATTTATTTTATATTTATTGTTATTATTATTTTATTTTTGTCATTTGCTTCAATTGTTCAGTATTACTATGTTTTATTCATATATCAAAATATCAGAAAGAACCAACAAATTTTCTCTGTTCACTGATGTGCGTATATAACGATAACTAAGTATTTTATCGGGCAAAACACAATTTAATCATCCGCTCTAACGTTCCAGGCTACAGCACGCTCTATTACTCGGCCTCTGAACGTGGATGGTTATACTTTGTTCTCTCCGGTCCAATCTACTATCTGTACATCGACGGCGTGTCTTACTATCTACACAGGACTTTCCATAACCCGTACTTGTACAAGAAGATCCACAAGCACCACCACCGTTACCACCAGCCTACGGCTTTCTCCGCCGTGGCCATGCATCCCGTGGAATTCTTCATGTATCAGGCTGTTATGGCTTTACCCATATTTACAGTCCCCATACATGCAGGTATGATTTTTTTTTTAAATTGTGATTTCGATTCCGCTTTATTGATTAATTGATCAGAACAATAAAAATGGCAAAGTAAAAATCAACAGAAAGAGAGAGAAAAAAATGAACATATTTTTTAAACAGATTACATAAATAATGTTTTTTTTTCTAACTAGGTGTATTTCTGACGGTATTGATGTACTTCTACTACTACGGTATGATAGACCATTCTGGAGTAAAGATGGACGCCATTTGGCCTTGGCAACCGCCGTCCACTTTCCATGACAATCATCACCAGTATGTGTATAATTATATATTAATTTCTCTTACAAATCCCCGAATCTTTAAGAAAATAAGCGATCGATCCAGTTCTTTCTTTTTGTTCAATATTCTTTTGAGTGAAAAAGGAAAAAATGGGCTTTTCAATTCACAACTTATCAATTAATTAAACCTCAGATCTGGAGTGATTTTATTTCAATACGTTTCATCATTCAACATTAATAACTGTGTACATTTTGGATTTCTGTCAACTCAGGTATTTCCACTGCAACTTCGGCTTCAATTCACTTTTATTCGACTGGATGTTTGATACCCTGCGAAAAGAGGGCAGAGTTTACGGAGAAGATATTTTTGGAGGAAGAGGAAGATCTATAGAAAATGACAAGGAGAAATGAAGAAATTAACAGAATTAACACGATTATGATTTACAAGAATCAGTCTACTTTCATGCACAAGATTCGTCCAATTTTATTCTAAAACCATTTTTTGAACTTCAATATTGGCGGCTTGCTTATAGTTTTCCCTTTACGCGTGTCAGAGGGGAGCCTGTTCCAAATTCTCCCAGTTCTCTAATTTTATTTTCATCTTTTCTATTTTTCAAAATTCATAGAACGTTGCCTGAAAATTAACCTGCAGAAGTCTATTTTTAAATTAAAATTGCATCAAACGCGTCATAAACGATCGTAATTATATTATTCATTTATTTCAACATAATGTACGTTTTAAACGACACCATCATTTTCTACGTCTGATAAAGTTCTTGGTCTTCAACAATCTGGATAACACTCACCCCATGAAATCATTGGGTGGGACCAGATCGACGTGTATCAAATAGAGACTTACGCTTTCATCATGCCAAACCTAATGATTAAAAACGGTCTACTTTAACCTTGCAACAGAAGGTTGCAATACACAGTATGAAATCAAAACCAAGATTATTCACAATTCCAACCCTTTGTATTATCATATATTATCACATTCCCTACCACAGCATATTATTCTGTATCCTGGTGAAGGTTAATGACGAAATGCCATCTGTAATTTTCTTATCGCATTAAGATTCATGTAAAAACGGATCTTAGCCAAGCGTCAGAAATGTTCTTACAGTGCATGACCGAATACCATGCTCCAGCAACAGAAAGCGAAATTCATTACATGCTTTACGTTTATTCCTGTATCTATGTAACTAACTGACATTTGAAAATAAAAGAACAAAATTCTATTTCATTGTATCTGTGTTCAGTGTTTTATATCTTTTAAGACTCATAACAAGCCTCCACAGCAGATCTTCCAGTCTCTTTTAGACATTGTCAAAAAGTGCCTATCAAGTGGAAAAAGGAGCCATTTCAGTCAATCTACATCCCTTGTATTCCAAAGCTGCCATACTTCTTGTTCCAGTCTATGTACAAGTCCAGATCTGCCTCCGATACGCTGGCACGCACCTGTCTGAACCCTGCCATGAAGTCTTGGTGGGTAATAGGTCTGACCTGGACACCAGAGATGAATTTAGACATCAACATATCAGCTGTCATGAAATATTACACAGTTACATTTTAAATAAATCTTAATCAAATAATAAAAGTTTTCTTAAAGATTATGTTAATATATTCGCGTAAAGCCAACAATTTGAAATGGAGTTCCACTTTCTGAAAAAGTGGAGCTTTTTATCCCATTTTCACCCTCTTGGCCTAAATTGAAAAATGGCATAGAAGCTATATCAAATTTTATTTCAAAACAACTCTTTTCAGGAAAAATGGCTAGTCTCTACACTCCCCCCCCCCCCCCCCACACACACCACACACACACACACACACCACACA